ACCCAGAAGGCGAAGTTCCGTCTATGGATTTTACCACCGCGACTATTTTATTTTTACAGAAGAGGAAGAAAATATATCAATAATATTAGCTAAAAAATAAAATAAAATAAAATAAAATAAAATAAAAATAAAAAATATAATTTAAAAAAAAAATCAGTGTCGTGGGAGAAAAATGAAAGCTGGAGAAATATGGCTCAAACTGTGTACCGACATCCCATAACTATTTGTTTTAATTGGTTCTAAAGGATGATTAAAGTACTTTTTTGCTAAAAAATCATGTTTCATTGAGTATTATGGTATTTTGTATAATCTAATAGGTGGAATACAATGCTGTCACAACTCACCTCGGTACCTGTCACAACTTACCTCGGTGCTAGGAGAGTTGTGACAGAGGGAGTGGTCTAAGAATTTGGTGATTTTCATAGAAACCCTAATACTTTAGTTAACTTTGGTGATTGTTTTGAAAACAGAAGGAACGGCGCCACATTAATTTGTATGATTCATAGCTGTGGAATGTTTTTTGAGCGAGATATGGCCCTTAAAGTAAAAATTGTCACAACTCTCCTAGGTCTCCCCTACGTAGGTTCCCTCGAGTGGGACGGATAGGTACCTAAATGCGTACATAGGTACCTACTTAATATTCTTAAAAACTCTTTTTAACTTATGGTCGAGAGCAATAAAACGATTTCTAAGAACACGGTATCTAGAGAAAAGAAAAAAACAGAATTTCATTTCTAGGACACTGATATTAAAAACTGAAAACTTTGTAATCATTTTGCTTTGTTAAAAGAAGGCCTAAAAAGTCTGGAACGTTCTTTAAAGGATATTTTCGGTGAAATATTTTCATTGAAGAGTATTAGCTGGATGACTTTTAATACTTTGATGGATGATCGACGAGGATGTCGTGTAAAATCTATATTATTTTTGAAGCAGGTAGGTACTCGCGATTGGGGTGGGGTGGTGCAATTCAACCTAAATGTTTTACTTGGCGTGCCGTCGTCTGAACCTATACGTATAATGTTATTTAGAGGCTATGTAATAACAGTATTGTGAGAACTGCTGCCGACAAACTGTGTCACAGTTTGGCAGAAAATATTAATGTTTACTGTGTGTATTTATATGGAATATAAAATAAATTAAAAAAAATAAAAATAAAATAAATATTATCAGAAACGATTTGGTAGTGATTAAACCAAAGAGAGAAAGGCCACGTGATCAAAAGCGTTAGTAGTACAATTAACTAGACAATATAATTTCAACTTTTTAAATACTGCACTCAATATCAATAGTGATAAATTCAAGTTTTCCGGAAAACAATGAAATAATTTTGAACAAATTGTATTACGCTATATTTCTTCCAAAATTAACCCTCTCAATGCTCGTGAAGCCGTAATGCAAAGTTGTGGTTCCAAGATTGACATCGTTGTATTATGTGTTCCGTATTTTATGTTCCTGTCTATTGGCTCGGTCAGCGTGCCAAGGAACACTGTTACACGCCCAACTCGAGGGTAATTTATTGCACTTCTTCCCCCGAGCTGAATCGATTCACGGTTAACACTTTATTGCAAATAGGAGTTGAAAGGACCGCATTAAGAAGAACGATGTAGTTGCAAGGAGTTTTGGAGAGTGAAATTATTTTAAAGGCAATTTTGTTCTTCAATTACTACATAAGTAAATCTGAGCTACAATTTTTAATGTGTTATTTCATCTTCATCATGAAGGTAGCAGGAAGGCGCTGGATGCAGACCGCTACTAATATCGGCCATTATGGAAATCATTGGGGGAGGTATACCTATGTTCAGCAGTGGACATCTTATAACTGAAATGATGATGCTGATGATGATTGCATTTTTAATACCGTTTATTCCTATTAGGTATTTCCAATTTAGAAGCAGTTTGTAGCCAAAGTCAATCCCGGATGGCAGAGATCAAATCAAATTATTACTCATATTACTATAAGATACCGGCACAAACTATAGCAAAATATGTATTTATTTATTCAAATGGGGTTTACATATACGACGCCGACACCGGATACTTTAGCGACAGCATTAACAAAATTATGACAGCATAGGGTTACTTATCTGCCGAAGATCGCCGAGAATAGCCTAATACTCGTAAGCCAATCACATGCCTCCGGTCCCAGAGACCGCACCACAACAATTAGCCCCGTAAATTTTGACGGCCCTGGAGAGGGTTAAAATGATAGTTCCATTTCACTTCGCAGTTAAATAACCATTGTGAGAAACTTTGTAGTTGAGAGTTCTGGGAGTTCTAGATAATGTAATAGGTACGCAAATTATGGGCGTACCTATTTATTAGATTTGTCAGTTATATAACTTGTTTAATTGTGATACTAATTGGAATAGAATAAAATAGAAAATCTTTATTGACACAGTACATATACATATTACTAATAATTAGTACATAAAAGATGGTTTTGTTAAAATATAAACCTTGTCATTTTTAAACTGTATCATTTAGTATCAAACTAAGAAAAGCTTTAACTATACTTTAACGGATATAAATATAGCNCCTTTTAGATCTGTGTCATCTTTCACGTTTAGTGATATACCGGGGTGGTTGAAACTTGATTTGATCCATCCACCCCGTTGAACGCTAAGACTATGACTACCGGGGTCGTTGAAACACTTTTTCCCATCCGCCCCGTTGACGGGGCAGATCCACCGGGGCCGTTGGGACTAACCCAGAAAAAGAGAAAAAGGGTAACAGCCCTAGATTTGAATATTGCCGCCTCCAGGTTTCACCTGCTTCTTCGTTTACTTTGGTATCATTTCTGACTTTATAGGTCGTCCCACGTATTGTCTGCCATCGAATGAAATAAGATTTATCTTGGTCTCGTCAGAAAACAGCACATTTCTCCATTGAGCAAAAGCCCAATGTCCATAGTTTCTTGCAAACGCCAATCTTGCTTCTTTGTGTTCCATCTTCAGTAGTGGAACTTTTCGAGCAACTCTTCCTACAAGCTTTGCCTCCACCAGTCGCCTTCTGTGCCTCTACCATGAGTTGCCATCGAAAACTTGTATTCGTATACTACAGTCGATAGAGTTTAAACGTGGATCGATGAAGTTTGCATTAAAATCATACCATGAGTTCAATTACCGTATACTTTACTCGCCAGCGATAATTCGATGGTTTTGTGATGTCATGTTGGTGAACATGTTAACGTATCCAACTTCACACTCTATGAATGGATGAATGAAAGAACGAATGCCGCTCCTTTCTAACTATATAGAAAAGATAGAGTAGGAAATAACAAAAATGTCAAAAATAACACTGCAAAATTTAAGTGTCCTAGAACAGTGTTTAAAGCTGAATTAACATGATGATTTTAAATTTGTATTGTTTATTTCTTGTCATTGCGACTTTGACGCAGCTGTTGTCATGACAACAGATAACAAAACATGTTTTGTTGAAGGATTATTGATGAATAATTTTCCACAAAAAAATGGATTTTAACCACGATAGGAAAATGAGAACCTGCGCCTATCCGTTTAAACCGATTGTAGAATTTATGGAAAGGTAAGTTATAATAATTAAAAATAACAAAAACTCACAAAGAAGCAATTCATTGCGTCAATAATAGTCAATGGTTTCTGAGTGCCTTAATGACGTCCCTTTTAACTGTAAATTTAGTACTTGCAAAAAGGTCGATGTGTGCAAATTGTTTATTGAATGCACTAACAAGTCGCGACAAGACTGAGTTTCGATTGTAATTTGTATAGTGCTGGGGAGTATCCAACAAAGATACGTTGCGGGTGCGATACTTCGGAGTACGAAACGTGATCATCGAGACCAAGTCCGGGCAGTCAATCCTGCTATTCACTACATCGGACAACAAAGCCATGTCCAGGACAACACGCCTGTGCTCCAGAGATAAGAGGTTATGCTCAATACAGCTTTCTGTGTAACTACTAATGCTATTACGACAGCGAAAGTTGAGGTGATTTATAAATATTTTTTGAATTCTTTCAAGACGGTTTTTGTAAACTTTGTACTGCGGAGACCATACGGAACCAGCATATTCCAAGACACTTCTAACGTATGCAAAATACACCATTTTGATTGCATCGATATCTGAGAATGGCTTACAGATGCGAAGAACAAAACCCAGATTTTTGTAAGCTTTGCCGATAACATATTCAATATGGTCGGATAGTATCATTTTATGATCGAAATACACGCCTAGATCCCTTACATTTAGTTTTCGACTGATTTCTACTCCATCGAAGTGATAACTGTGTGTGACCGGCTTTGGTTTCCGCGTAAATGTTATACACTCACACTTACCTGCATTGACAGTTATATTATTTTGCCTATAGTACTGAAGCAAACGATCCAAGTCCTTTTGTATTAATATACAGTCTTGTGTTGTGTTAACTTTACGAAAAATCTTTTTGTCGTCAGCGTACATCAGATAGCTAGTGTGTTGCATGCATGATCCTATGTCATACAGGTAAGCGCTGTAGAAAAGTGGTCCCAAATGAGAGCCCTGGGGGACTCCGGTAGGTATGTTTACAAAATTCGAACGATATCCGCCTATTACAACTGCCTGTGAACGATTGGAGAGATAAGATTTAGTCCACCGGAGCAAATCACCATGGATTCCGAGTGTTTGTAACTTGCTGAGCAGGATCACGTGATCCACACGATCAAACGCTTTTTCAAAATCAGTGTAGATCACGTCAACCTGCCCACCGCGATCCATATTCTCAAGGATGAAAGTAGAAAAACATGCCAAATTAGTAGTAGTGGACCGCCTTTGCATGAAACCATGTTGATGCTCCGGGATGGAACGTGAGAGCGTAGAATAAATCACGTTATATACCACACGTTCAAGGATTTTTGCTGCAGTGTTTAAAATGGAAATGCCTCTATAATTTTTTATATCAGTGCGTGATCCCTTCTTGTGTATAGGGACTATAAGTGCCGATTTCCATTTGTGTGGAAAGACTCCCTCACGCAGGGAACGGTTAAATATGAGTGTCAAGGGAAGAGCAAGTGACTTAGCGCACCGAGACCAAAACAGAGAAGGCAATCCATCACTACCAGCACCCTTTTTCGTGTCCAAGGTTTTCAACATGTTTTCAACTGCTGAACTGCTTATCTGCACGTTGGAAACTGTATCTATGCACAACGGCTCCGATAGTGGAGGTATTAAATTATTGCTAGGTACACCAAATACACTATGGNTTTTTGTCGTCAGCGTACATCAGATAGCTAGTGTGTTGCATGCATGATCCTATGTCATACAGGTAAGCGCTGTAGAAAAGTGGTCCCAAATGAGAGCCCTGGGGGACTCCGGTAGGTATGTTTACAAAATTCGAACGATATCCGCCTATTACAACTGCCTGTGAACGATTGGAGAGATAAGATTTAGTCCACCGGAGCAAATCACCATGGATTCCGAGTGTTTGTAACTTGCTGAGCAGGATCACGTGATCCACACGATCAAACGCTTTTTCAAAATCAGTGTAGATCACGTCAACCTGCCCACCGCGATCCATATTCTCAAGGATGAAAGTAGAAAAACATGCCAAATTAGTAGTAGTGGACCGCCTTTGCATGAAACCATGTTGATGCTCCGGGATGGAACGTGAGAGCGTAGAATAAATCACGTTATATACCACACGTTCAAGGATTTTTGCTGCAGTGTTTAAAATGGAAATGCCTCTATAATTTTTTATATCAGTGCGTGATCCCTTCTTGTGTATAGGGACTATAAGTGCCGATTTCCATTTGTGTGGAAAGACTCCCTCACGCAGGGAACGGTTAAATATGAGTGTCAAGGGAAGAGCAAGTGACTTAGCGCACCGAGACCAAAACAGAGAAGGCAATCCATCACTACCAGCACCCTTTTTCGTGTCCAAGGTTTTCAACATGTTTTCAACTGCTGAACTGCTTATCTGCACGTTGGAAACTGTATCTATGCACAACGGCTCCGATAGTGGAGGTATTAAATTATTGCTAGGTACACCAAATACACTATGGAAAAAAGAATTAAACGCATTACATATTCCCTCACCTTCAGTATACTCTACGCCCTCTAAACACATTTTTTTGGGGTAGCCCGACCCGCCTCGAGTGGCTTTTACAAAAGTCCAGAACAATTTAGGGTGTGTTTTGATACTATTTTCACAGCTTAATTTAAATCTGTCAAAACATTTCTTTTGAACACGGTGTTCTCTTTTTCGAAGCAATTTGAACTCATCGTAATCCAACATATTTCCAAATGTTTTCCAACGGCTATGAGCTTTAGTCTTCTCTTTTATGATTTTTATTAAGGCCGGCGTGTACCATTGAGGATATGTTCGCCTCCCTGTATTATAACTAAAGGGCACATGAGAACGTACACAAAAGTTGAGTATGTTATACATGGCGTCAACAGCCTCGTCCACAGTGCCCATACACAAAAGTGATTGCCAGTCCTGCTCTAAAATATATGAATTAATACTATCATAATCAGCCTTTCCGAAATTCCGCCGCGGAGCGAGCGTTTCACGCAAAGGAATAATTAATAAATCTAAAACTTCAAGGCAGAATGATGGATGCGCACGATCCTCTTTAAGCAGCGGTACACACGTTAGTATTTAAAACTAAAACTGGCTCGAATCATTTCGTGCATCTATTGAACCGTAATCTACACTTTGACACGCGATTTAATAAATACAGGTTTATGAGAAACTAGCTTTGTCCACGGCTTCGCCCGCGTGGACTTAAATTCGGTCTATCACAGAATAACTCTCGCGCGTGTTTTCCTTTCAAAAACTGGGACCAATAAAAGCTATCTTATGTTTTTCCTGGGTCCTGACCTATCTCTACAGGGTGTTAGGTAAATGGGTTTAAAAGCCGACACAAGCCCATGTTGTTAACATAATATGCATAAAATATTAAATGGTATGATGAATTCAAAAATTTATCAATTTATATGCACATGTTAACATGGGCTAGTGTCGGCTTATAAACCCATTTACCTAACACCCTGTATATCAAAATTTATTTAAATTGAATCAGTGGTTTAAGCATATTATAATGCAACAGACAGACAGAGTTACTTTGGCATTATTATTAGTATGGAAAATATGGATAACATGACACTATTTACTACTATGTCAGTTTGCTTGTGACTTTGGATCACTCTCGACTGCAGTATAAATAATAAAATTTACCAACTTTGAACTTAATTTCGTATAATCTTTTAACGATGTGTCGCTTAACATTTGTAACGATGTGTTTATTTATTTTGTGTATCTTAATCGTATCGTTATCGGTAAGTATTTATAAATTTTATAATTAACTAGCTGCCGCCCACGACTTCGTACGCGTGGATCCCGTTTTACCCCCTTCATCTAGATCAGTTTAGATTTTTTCATACAAAACGATTTTCCCGCTAATTCCCGTTCCCGTGGGAATTTCTAAGTATACTATAACCTGCCCCTGGGCTTCATACTCCTGAGTATGAAGAATAATTGTACCAAGTTTCGTTAAAATCCGTCGAGTAGTTTTTGTTTCTATAAGGAACATACAGACAGACAGACAGACAAAAATTTTACTGATTGCATTTTTGGCATCAGTATTGATCACTAATCACCCCCTGATAGTTATTTTGAAAATAGATTTCATGTTTCAGAATTGACCTCTCTACAGATTTATTATAAGTATAGATTTGCTCGTTGGTTCACCCAGCTTCTTACGATGAATAAGCTCAATAATAAACTACCTACCTATTTAGTACGCATTTTTTATGGAACTTAGCTTTAAGTAAGAGCAGCAACTTAATATATTACCCAAATACATACCTACCTATTTATAATTTTATTATGTATGTCATAAAGGTAGCAGGAAGGCGTTGGAAGCAGGCCGCTACGCTACCAACCGGGCAACATGGAAAGCATTGGGGGAGGCCTATGTTCAGCAGTGGACGTCCTATGGCTGAGATGATGATCATGATGATGATTATTATGTTTGTATCTAGGCTGGAGAAGACATGATAAAAGTGGAATCCAAATTCCGTATATTAGCGCCTCAGTTTATATGCCCTAAGGATGACAATGCTACTGTGGAGAAGCCTGATAACACCGTTATCACGTAAGTACGAGTATTTTAAGGCTCCTACTACGAATTGCATAAGTAATCTTGTTGTAAAATATTTTTTATTTATTATTATTAATAAAAATTGTATATTTGCGTAAAATAACACACATTAAATTGCGTTAAATCGCGGTTGGGAGAGGGGACGCGCATGCCACGGACCGGCAAACTTAGCGCGAACGGGTAGTAGGTACTTGATTAGATATAATCAAGCGTCGTTTCGAAATAAAATTACCCTACTGTCTGTAATGAAAACGGAAAATAGCTCGCAGACATTCAATTTAAAATTATTTATTGCATGTCACATGGGTAAGGGTTGGTAGAACACAGTACTGTAGTACATGACGTGACGCCCAGTAAAGGGGTTGCAAAAACTTAAAATAACATTTACATTTATCATTAAAAACAAACAATTCAAAAAATAAAATATAAAGTTTTTTGTCAATCCAAAATTTAGGCACCTACGCAGCGCTCAGTCTGCGAGTATCTTACAAGTCCTAACGTAAATAATAGTTCCTACTGCCATGATGTCTAGCACTTAGGCTGTCTATGCTAGGTCGATATTTAACAAATTAGATTCTGTCTGGAAGGAAAATGGAATATGTCTGTATAGCTTGCAGACAGCTGCAGACGCAGATATGCGTATAGACTGGACCGTGCGGTGGACTCCGCTGGTTGCGCCTACGCAGCGTTTTACTTTGCTGCTGTGGAAAGCGGTGCGAGCACTTGAAGCGCGACTGAATCAACCGCAGCCAGAGCCCTATGTTTATGTCATAGAGAACAGCCAGGTAAATCATTTTAGGATGAATATAAATCGTGTAGAAGCACTAGATTCGAGTACTTACTACATACAGAGGCAATACAGTCTTGGAATACACGTACCTACGTGGTAACACTTAGTTAAATCAGTAATTCCTGACCATTTTTGAAAATTTTTGACGCCTCCGTAGTCAAACCACTGTTTAAAGTCTAATTTTTTAGAAATCAGCAGAAATGTCATCAAATATGGCCAACTGATATAAAAATATTTTTAGTCTGTGAACTAGTGATGCGACAAAACCTCTCGTTAATCGCGAAGTGAAATATTGTAGTATTTGCGTATCATCGCCGGGTGATCGTCAAAATACTAAAAATATGCAACAAAGTCGCAACTAGGGTTTCTGCTCGAGCTTTCTCGAACTCGAGAAAACTCGAGAAATTTGGCTTCATTCGAGACGAGAAAAAAATTACCGGAGCTCGAGAATTCTCGAGTTTCGAATTTGAAGCTTTTAATATTCTTGAAAGCCTATTTTCTTAGACAAAAGTAAGTTTTTAATTATTTAATAGGTTAACGTTGCTTTTAGAACCGGTCTACTCTTTCCTTTTTTACCCGACTGCGTGACGCAATGGTAATGTGTCTAACAGCCTATGTATGTATGTTTTTGAAGCACTATAGAGACCAAAATCTTGGGTCGATTTTTATGATTCGCACGTCAATCGATTTCTCTTAGTCCGGTGAGTGTCACTAAAGACATGACGTTGGTAAAAATTCAATATGGCGACTACCGGACGCCATATTGTGAAACTCAACGAACTATGGCATGTGAGGTATCGTTAAATTTGTTTTAACTGTGAGAGTGACACTTGTGGTGACACTGGGTATATCAAAATTGGAAAATATAGAAATGGCCGATTTTTGGCGCCATAATATGTATTAAAAAATATCTCAAAACCTATCAAGTGGGGTATCAATAAAGGATTTTAAAATAGCTTGCAAAATGTATGCTCTTTAACAAAAAACCCAACTGGGTAAAAATGAACTGAAAAGATAGAAATAAGACAAAGTGTTGACAAATGTAGTTGGAGGCATCAAACACTTATCATCATATCATCATCAACAGTCCTTTACAGTCCACTGCTGGACTATGAGCCACCTCCGCGGGAAGAGTAGGGGTTGGTGACAAATGTATTCCATTCTGCCGTCACCACACGGCTTATCATCAACTACTTATCACCAACAAAAAAAAATAGTCATTGATGTCTCAGACTGCATTTGTGAACACTTTGTCTTGTACCTATCTTTTCAGTTCATTTTTACGTAGTTGGGTTTTAGTTTTTTTGTATTAGATTTTAAAAAACCTGTGTTTTTATCAAATTTCAACCGATTTCAACAATTTTAATTAAAAGACTCGAGACCCGAGAAAACTCGAGACTTTGGCCTCGAGAATTCCCGAAACTCGAGAAAAAAAATAGGTCGAGAAATCAGAAACCCTAGTCGCAACGAATGTGAACTGATTATGAAATTTTCGAGAACAGGAAACAAACTGTATGCACAGATGTAATCAAAAAACACACTGGATAATAAAACAATCAATGATATCCGTAAAGTTATTAAACTTCAAATAGTTGCAAAAAATTCTGTTTGACAGTGTTGCTACTAGTGTTAGTTTTCTTAAAAATAAACAATGGAACAATACGTAAGCATAATTGCATAAAAAAGTAAAATAATTTCGTTTAAATCAAACCGACTAAAAATTAAACTGACTCCGAAAAAGTAAACACTAAAAGTAGAAAAATAATTTTACGTTATCTCCAATATTGTTGTACTGAATATTGGAAAACTAAACAAAGTATCGTGTATTTTTTATTTAAAATTAATCAGTAATTGGAATAAGTGAATACTTAAAATAATATCGATTAAATTTACAGATTATTGTCTATGACTCACAGGTTACGGCACTGATGTGTCAGAGACAAGTCATAGACAATATGGAGATAACACATGATTTTAAACGTCAAGTCAATTTGACAAGTCTCACAAATTTTCATCGTCCACGTATTTTGCTAAAATAATTTGTTTCAAAGATTGATTTCAAACTTGTATAAACGTGAAAATAAAGTTGGTTTCATGGGCTTGTTAAATAATGTGTATGATATTATGAACACGTAAGTGATTATGGTGTAATTGTGTATGAAAGTGTTTGTTTACATCTCTGCTGGATTCTAAAAAATCAAGGTATAGATAGTTCTAGTTATTAACCTGGTTGCCTAATCAGAAAAATAACTCTATCTTTCGAAAGAGAAACCTATTAAATAAATAAAAAATAAAATAAAATAAAAAAGAGCACATTAAGCCTTCAGTTTATCCGAAAGACTCATAAACGCTCTTAAAACCTCAATATTAAGACCTCAGTATTGGGACTTCAGTATTGTGACCTCAACCAACTTTGAGGTCACAATACCCACATAGATGAAGGAAAATATTTTTACATCTTTCTAATTCATTTATTCACTCACACGACAATACAATCGTAGTATAAACCTAAGGTAATACAAAATATGTAGATTCAGTAGATTAGATCTGTTTGTTCAAAGCTGTTTAAATTGTCATCAGATGCTGAAAGGCGTGAACTACATCTTCAACGTCAGCTCGGTCGAATCGAACGGTGACGTCAGCGAGCCCAAGTGCTTCAACATCGACAACACGCAGGGCGACCATGAGCTGACGATCGAGGGTCGAAGCGATATGTTTTCCGTCGTTCTGGTGGGCGCGCAGGCGGCTTTGGCTGACGTGACGTATGTGGTCGAAGCGCAAGTTACTACCTGTACACCCACACAGGATTATTATGTAAGTAAATACATACCTAATCTAATCGTCACCTTTAAAGCGTCTGCCCAACCCATCTGGCCAGTGTGGGGAGTATAAGACAAATCTTTACTTGCCTCCTGAAGTCACAAACAAGCCTACCTAAAAAACCTATTGGAAGCGATCTCATAAAGTTTGCTTTATTAATCTATGTAAAGTTCAAACAAACCTTAATTAAATTGTGGGGTAGGTAATAAATAATATGGTCCCTGGGAATCGAAGCAAGACCTCCGATCAATAGTTTTTAACTCTCTAACCACTAGTTAATCTATAGAGGCATTCTATTTTATATTACCTGACCTCCGAGCTAAACTATGGACAGCTAGAAATATTAACTCAATGTTATTCCTAGTTTGCCTGGAGTGTGCAGAGTCTTAGCACTGATGATATGGTGAACGTCTCACACATACAAGGATCGAGGTTGGAGGTCCCTCCTCACACTCTGAGACCTGGCTTGGTTTACAGCGCGTCGTGCCAAGTCATACGGGCTAGCAACGGGAACTTTATTACGCAGGTAAAATGGCGGAAAGGTCAGCTATTACACTACAATTTTATACACCATGCGTTCCATTGTATCACCAGCAGCCATTAAACGCTTAAGCTCAGCCCCCAAGCCCAACCTTGAAAAAGGATTTGCGCTTCGAAATACCTGCGCGACAGATAAGAACCTCGTTAAAGCGAACCACGCACAGCGGTTACAATACAATTTGCAAAAACACAGAGATACGTTCTTTTGTAAGTCAGCACTCATAAAACGCTTAGGACCAGTCCCGTGCGAAGCCTTGAAGAAGGATTTGCTTAAAACTACCTGTGAGAATTGGCGAATCGATGTTTGTTTATGGCTCCACTAAGTCTCGGCGCCAGGCCAGACCTGTATTGTTAACAAAAAAAGTGTCTGTATTAGTAAAAGTAACGTAAAAGTTAGTACAGACATGATGTCTAGCACTTAAGCTATGCCTACTACGAGTAGGTATTGGTCAATTCTTAACTACTTATTAGATTCTAATAGTGAGCTCGTTTCGGAAAAAAAAACAGTCTGGAATGAAAATGGAAATTATTGGAATTATTTGTCTGTATTAGCTTTCAGACAGCTGCAGACGCAGATAATGCGCTGTGTCACGTTATGTATTAGAGCGGTTGGACACCACTGGGTGCGCCTACGCAGCGCATAAGCCTTGTTCGCACTAGCTAAGTAATTTAGTAAAGTAAATCACCATAAGTAACTAAATTAACATAAAGAAAGATGGATTGGCTTGACTAAACGATTAAGAGCTGATTTTACCATCGTCGGATAACTTTTAACTGAAAAATAAGTTAGGCACATTGACAGTTTCAGTATGAGGAATACGTCAAAATGACAAGTTTATTCTTCAGTTAAAAGTCATCTGACGATGGTAACATCAGCCCCTAGTAACCTAATTGCTTGATGTTCAGACACGTTTAGCTACTAAATTATTCGCCACTTGACTAAATTTCTCGATTAGTGCCAACGAAACTTTAGTCCGCGAGTAGTCAAGTACCTAGCATAAAATAGTACTGCCATGATGTCTAACACGTACCCTAGTATAGCCTATGTATTGGTCGATCCTCAACAATTGGATGCTGTTTGGAATGATAATAGTTTAATGGATAATGTCTATGGCTATGCACTTACCTCACGTGAGTGCAATTTAAAAAATCTGACTATAAAATTTGGGGATATCAATAAAAAGTTTTGAAGTAGATGTACTAATCTCATAGTAAAAATAATATGCCCTTTATAAAAAATAACTAATGTACAATTTACTCAATTTAATTTTAATTCTGTCTATCTGATATCGTTACTAATTTAAACGTGAAGTGACTCTGTCTGTAATACTTTCACGCCTAAACCACTGAACCGATTTTGATGAAAGGTTATAAATAGTTTTGAGTCCCGGTAAAGGACATAGGTGGTTTTTGAAATAGGGACGCGTCACGCGCACAGTAAAGTTTTTCTGTGACGAGAGTATCAAAATCAAAGCTGCCGGTAAAAGCTCGAATAAAAGAAATACCTTTTTAAATAAATAAACTAAAACATTTGAGATTACTTATAATAACCCTGTCGCTAACTTCAGTTTAGGTAAATCTATTTATTTCAGACCAGTCTACCTTTCGGGGTACGGTTTCGTGGATTAGAAGTGTACCTTAGCATTGACTATTTACGGGTGACAATTAACCAGCCTTTCTCCATTGAATCGATTGTAATCAACCACGATTACTATGGTAACCCTGTCACAGTAAGTATGTACTCGTATGTTTATTTTATACTAATATTTTAAGGTTGAAGTGTTTATTTGTATGGTTGAACGCGCTAATCTCAGGACATACAGGTTCGATTAAAAATATTTTTATGTTGGATACCTACTCCATCAATTGATGAAAATCTCACTACAACAAATATTTATTGCAAAAACGGGAAAAAATATACAAAAGATTTAAACTTCACCGACCGAAGTCTAAAAGAACTGTTACCTAGTTTAATTTTGAAAAAACTTTGACGAAGTGTGTCAAAGAGATGATTATAGATATACTTAATGATAAAATTTAATCATCATGAAATATTTTATTTTATTTTATCTTTGATTTTAGTTCGCGTGGAAATGCACATACAATGATGAAGACTGTAATATAGAAACCGATTTGGACGGAGAAACTTTGATCTTTCCTTCTGGACTATGCGATGACGGCGAGTAAGTATTATAATATTAATATCTACAACGCTTTTTTTACCTATACAGGGTGTTAGGTAAATGGGTATATGAGCCGACACTAGCCCATGTTAACATGGTCATATAAATGGTATGGCGAAGTCAGAAAATTGATATCTTCATTTTAATTATTTTAATTTTCATACAAATCGGATTTTATAAAATTTATTTTGTATGAAAATTAAAAAATAATAGAAGCGTTTTACCTTACAATAAAACGCATATTAAATACTTACCTTATTCAAAGCTTAATAATAATGAGATAGGCTTTCCATTTTTCGTGCTATTTCCTACCTTTTTCTTCTCCTTTACTTCCGTTTTACACAGCTACTAGCGCCATCTGGCGTTTCCCCCCACCAGGCAGTGTTCGCGATTGCGAACTTCTAGCGTCATTGCACGATTTTATACCAGCAGGCAGGATTAAAATTTAAGCTTTGAATAAGGTAAGTATTTAATATGCGTTTTATTGTAAGGTAAAACGCTTCTATTAAATAGCTTGACCTTATTCAAAGCTTAATAATAATGAGACATGTCTGTTATCGCCTGGTGGTGGAAGAAACGCCAATGTGAGTTAATACAGTATTTAATAAAAAANATGGATGCATTCTGCCTTGAAGTTTGGGGATTTCACCACAATAGTCCAGCAGCAGCAGGGTTCGAATTTCGAGTAAGTGATCTCAATATCGTCGTCGTTTCAGCCGAAAGACGTCCACTGCTGGACAAAGGCCACCCCCAAGGATTTCCACGAAGACCGATCCTGCGCCAGCCAGATCGTCGGTCCACCTAGTGGGAGGCCTGCCCACGCTACGTCTTCCGACTCGTGGTCGCCTCACTCGCTCAATAAGTATACTCGTAAGTGAATTGTGACCAAAAACCATTTTTTTGGCGATTAGGTATACTTTTTAAAACCTCTATCAATCAACTTTAGAAATACTTTTAATTTTAAGCTTAAATTGTTTTCCTCTTTATAAACTGAACTGTCACTCGTTAACTCCTTGCAAAACATCAGCTTGACCAAAGATTTCAGAATTGAAAACTTGATAAGGCACAGCGTTGGTTAACTTGCTAACTCAAACTCTACATTTTGTGTTTAAAAAGCAAATTTTATCTTTAATAATATTATAAGGCTGAAGAATTTGTTTGGTTGAAAATTCTTTGTATTGGATAGCCAATTTATCGAGGAAGGCTTTAGGCTATATAACATTAGCCTACAGTCAATAGGGGCGGAGCAGTAAAGAAAAATGTTACAAAAACGGGAAATATTAGTCGTTATTTTCACGCGTACGAAGTTGCGAGAACAGCTAGGATTTATTTTATTTTATTTTATTTTATTTGTTTAACAATGTTTCAACAGCATTAAATTGTACATAAATGTGCAGGAAGATACAACTTGAACATAAGCCAATTAAAGAAACACATTCTATTAAACATTTTTAAATAAGTTAACGTGGGTAGGTAAGTGAACTCTAAAACAATATATATTTAGGTTTATAGCTAATTTTACATTTCAAACATCTATGCCGAACCCTATTTTGTGCTATTGTATTATTGTGAATGCGTAGGTGTTCAGCTAATTTCTGTAGCTCGTGCTCTGATGGAAACAGAATTATCACGTAAAACAAATAAAAAGGAACGGTTAAGGCGAGTAAATAATATATTACATTAATGTCTCTGTAGCGTGTGAGCTCTAAGAGAAGGGAAAATATTAAATTATGGATAACCTTTGACATTTATACGTAAGTTTTTCTTTTAGGTAGCTCTTGTGAGACTAACGTCCGATTCCCATATTCAATCCTTGTCCAAATCTGGATCACAACTATAAATAATATAAAATAGCCTTATAAACAATTTGAAAATGTAAAAACATCGAAAACCTACGCCAGACCTACGTCATTTTATAAAAGCTGAAAGTTTGTCAGCGTATACTCCCAATATAGGTTAGAATGCTGGCGAATCATGAAGTTTGGGTCATCGTGGCTTTGGCAGCTATCCTAAAAAAACTGTCTGGCAAGGAGTTGGAACTGTCAAAATTATCTGGCTGATGTGGAAACAACTTCTAATCAATGCCCAAATAAAAAATTACATTTTTTGGTGTAACGTAAGAAGAATTACAGTCTATTGAATATACAGAAAAAAAATACAGCTTTACTACAGTGCCAGTGTGTCATTGGGACAATATCATAATGGGAACTCAAGGCTATGTTATTTGAAAAAAAAAAAAAAAACTACATTTTAATAGGTACGAGTATACCTACCAACTTAAATCCTTGTCGTACATTTGCATAAAAGAATATGGAAAATATTGTCCATTTTGTCCCCGCGGTTTACAGACCCAGTCTCAGTCCCCGTCCTCTTTTTACTGCCATAAATTACGTAGATTAGAAGGGGATAGAGCGCTGTGTCACTGGGTAAGCTGTTCAAGGTCCAATACATTGCTGGGAAAATTATACCCACCGACATTTTGGAGACGGAATACAAGAAACCGGTTTTAGGTTGAATGAACTTCCTTGGGCGGGATTTGCCCTTCCCTTATCTTTCTTTGTATAGACTAGCTGTGCGGCGTCGCGGCTTCGTAGTGACATCGTTTGAATAATTTTTCCCGTTTTTTTCCAATATTGATGCTTCAACTCCTATCGATCGTAGTTTGATGCTAATATATTAATCCTTGATAAACTGAATATCCGATAAATAATCAATTCGTACCAGCAGTTTCTGAGAGTAGAGTCAACGTAAACCATACAAACTCTTCCTTGATAAACGTCTAAAAAGACATATTACTAGAAAATAACTGTGTTTAAAAACTGTGTATTAGTCCAAAAATATAGGTAACAGATTAGGTATTTTTAATTAGCAAGATAACTAGCCTTAATGTAGCATTAAAACCTCAGTATAAATACTAGTACTACCTAAAACTAGAAATTCTGAATACCTTCACACAGAAATTACTTTAAAACTGATTAAACCTGTGCAGTTCTATTCCTTTTATTACTTTAAAAAGTTTTTCAATTTCCCAACATTATTGAAATTGACGGCAAAATGAACAAGAACGGGTGATAAATTGCAGAAACATAAACTATTACTCATTTATACTAGCTGCAGTTGAATCAACCAATTCATTCTTTTGTTTTACTTTTGCTCCCGACGCGGAGCCGCGGTGGAATTAATAATAATTTTATTATTTTCTCCGTGAGTCTGTTAGGGTGCTGACACACTCAGAAAATTGTGCTTATAACTAAAGTAATTTTGTCCTTTGTGGACCTTTGATGCGCAAGCTTACATCTGAGCAAACACATCCTAAGCCCACAAGATGTAAAACATATAATTATATTGGATGCAGGACTCGGAGGCGAACTGTAAGGAAAATAGCGGCGATCACAATACATCAGTACCGGTCGTAGTGCGTGGTGATATTCGGATTTCATAGAACCAGATAAGCCGCTCAAAGAAAAAAAATAAAAAGTAATTTTGTCCCGTTAGTTATATTATTAACTTCTTAAATAACAATAATCTCACTACAAAAAATCTACATAGGTAAAATTCATCGTTCGTTCGATCATTCCGTACTTACATAAAAATAATCTTCGTACAAAGTCGAGTAATTTTAAAATAAAAAGGAGGTTTTAAGATTGTACTTTTCATATCTCAAGTTCAAAAAATGTTCTTAGCTCTGTTTTTACAAAGGTAATATTTTTTTAATCAAAAAAGTAGGTATGTAGTGCGTAATGATTAAAAGTATTGTTAATATCTGCCAGATATCTGGTATAACGTTGGATTTAATTGAATAAATATGAATTTACAGAGTCAGAGGAAAGTGTTTTCCCCAAAGTAAGAATCTGTTAATCTTTTTAGATAATATATTATTTACGCTGTTAACATAGAGAGTAAAAAACATGTCCCATTTTCTTTGTTTTATTTTTAGCATGTAAATGGATAAAGGTAGCAGGAAGGCGCTGGATGCAGGCCGCTACCAATCGGGCGATGTGGAAGTCATTGGGGGAGGCCTATGTTCTGCAGTGGACGTCCTGTGGCTGTAATGATGATGATGATGATGATGATGGTGATGTAAATGTTTGCTTTTATTTGTTCATGTAATTTTAAAGGACAATATTTTTTATTCGTGGCTTGTTGTAAATGTTTATTTTAATTATGAAATGAGAAGGCGTGGAAAATTTTCATTGATGTGGAAAATGTGTCTATACTGAAAACATGAATACAACATCAAAATTTTAAATATAATGAGTAAGTGTTAATTAAATAAAGTAGATAGTCAAAGAAAAAAATCGACGTTTTATGTTCATAATTAGGAAAGACACTTTGAAGTATTGACAGTACTTTTTACATTACTACAGTTTCTCTATTATGCTGTGTGAAATTGGGAACAATATCGGAATTTAGCTTAAACTGAGTATGAACGAGCCTTACTACGCTCGTCGTGCCCGTCTTTCGAGCTAGTTTTCTTGAATTTTCTTTTCCAGTGACAATTTTATTATGTAATTTTTATTCCCTCTATTATCTTTAAATGTTTTTAAACAGGTGAAAATTATTGTTTTATTCATATTAAAGAGAAATTGCAAAAGTATGTTTAAAATTAGCCTCGGTTTGACGAGAAAATTATCGAGAGATTTAAGTTACCCGTCATTATGGAAATCCATGGGGCCTTTCGCCCGTATTCACAAACATTACTATGAGGTCTCACAGTGCGCGTGGATGCACAGGGTCACACTGTACACACGAACCAATCACACAGCTCTATTCAACGCTGTCCGTTCAATTTTCTGTTTTACTTAAGCAAGCATCGTTTGTGAATACGGGCGTTTGTCCAGTAGTGGACGATATTAGGTTGTAACGAACAAAGGAATGAAATAACCTAGGTCATGAATTTTAGAATCGACAAGTCTTAGGCCCGGTTTTTTGATTCGTAGCTAAAATAACCAATAGTCAAAAGACAATGCCGGAAATTGGCGTCTTTTTTTTTTCGCGCGGCCA